AAAAAAAAAAAAAAAAAAAAAAAAAAAACAAAGAAATATTAACAAAAAGTCAGGAAGCAAAAAGGTGAAATGGCTGAGGCTTTCTTCTTCTGTGGTTATGATTTTCTGCCTAAAAAGATGGGAAAAAAGGGAAGAGGGCCTTTGAACTTCAATCCTTTCTCTCTCTTCCTTCAATGTATTCCTTCAATGTATATTTAATAGTCTTACTCACATATCAATCTCGCAAAATGAGATTCCGACTCTTCGAAAATGGAATCATAAATGGTGTAAACAATAGAGATCAACAATAAAGAAGCTTGAACTTCAACATAACTCAACTAGTTAAGACATATATCATCGATCAAAAGGTTAGAATTCACTAAAGAAGCTTGAACTTCAACATAACTTAACTAGTTAAGACATATATCATCGATCAAAAGGTTAAAATTCACTAAAGAAGCTTAAATTTCAACATAACTTAACTAGTTAAGACATATATCATCGATCAAGAGGTCAGAGATAATATTCCATTTGTCTAGAGCTTCATGATAATGATATAAACTTAATGAAGCTCCTCATACTTATTTCTAAAATTGCCCATTTGACTAAAATGTATGACTCAATCTTATTATTACTCTGCACCCTACTGCAGAACACCTGATAGTTACACTCATCTCAGCTACTCAAGTTAATGCATAACCAGTCTTTAGTAGTTCCAAACCAAGCCATGGTCTATGAGTCGGGCTCGTTCTTCAACTGGCAATGCTATCTCTGGTAGTTACGAGCTCCGTAACTGTTTAACCTGGCTCTGAGAAAAAATTTGACAATCAAGCATGTTTTATCATATCAGTACGATTTCGCACTTGGATTTTATGCAAACAGGCAACATACATGTTACATATGGAGACTTAGCTAATAAGGAAACGGTACCAATATGGGCCAGAACAGAGAATAGATTATCGAAGTAGGGCATGTGAAAGTTGAGGTATAAATAATACTGAGTCATGAAGGTTGAGTTGCAAATGAGAAATTCCTACTAGAAATTAAAAATGACCACAAGAGAACAAACCAATTAATGTGACAACAGTTAGATTAAACGAAAAGAGTTAAGGCACAAAGTCCACCGCTAGTTTTGTCTACAAATTTATTTATGAAAACAAAAAATAGAGTATATGTAACAGCCCAAGTCCACCGCTAGCAGATATTGTCCTCTTTGGGCTTTCCTTCAAGGTTTTTAAAACGGGTCTGCTAGGGAGAAGTTTCCACACCCTTATAAAGAATGCTTCGTTCTTCTCCCCAAATGAGTACCAATTCCGCCGCACAACTCTGAAAGACGCGTTTTAAGAATTTTGAGAGGAAGTCTGAAAGAAAAATCCAAAAGAGGACAATATTTACTAGAGAGGGCTTGAACTCTTACAGTATGTACATGTCTACGTCTTAACCAATCATGTATATAAAATATAGAACAAGCAACAATCCAACATAATCACAAATCAATCACAAGAGAAAAGCCTCCCCCCACCTCTATATATATGTTACTTATGGAGGTCAAAGATCAAACATATCATCAAGTTCCAGACATCGGATAACTCACCAACGAATAACGAGCATCGTTGTATGGTCACAATGGGAAACTTTCATTATATGAATTACGAAGTATCCTAACAAGTTTATCTAGTAAACTGGGAGAGATTCTAACACAACGTGAAAACAGTGACAATGGTTGACGAAGAAAATTTCTAATAGAGAACAGTGCACGCATTAGGATTCATGAACAAATAGGGGACAAGCAGTTAGATTTCTTGGTAACAAAACCATCATGGAGATGACAAAAAAAATTAAACCCGCGATCGGAAAATTTGAAGTATAAGCAACAAGCAAGGATCTTACATTTAGTACATCCTCTGACCTCCCTCTTGATGCCAGGTTCATTACTACTGCTATCTACAAATCTATGATAATACTTTAGAGGGTGGTACTTCAATGAAGCTAACTCTTCTTTAGCTACGTCGAGTCTCTGTTTTTCAGCTTTCTGTTGCAAGCAGTGTTACAAATTAAAATTGCAGTTGTTATCAAATGGAAAATAACGTTTCAACATCTAAAACTTACAAGTGCTTTCCTAGAAATGGAAATTTGTAGCTCACAAAGCTTGAGCTCCATATCGAGAGTCCGCAAGCGAGAATCAACAGACACGCTGCATTGTTCGACAATTTGCCTTTGCCTTGCCCTAATGACCTCTGGCTGCCAGACTCTCAAAGCTACTGATGCTTCCCTGAGACGACCAAACACAATTATCTTATCTAAAAATTTTTGAATTCAAACCACACTTGACATTTTACTCACTGTCCAGAATAATACTCAACAATTCCAATCAACGATTTTACTAATTGCAATCAACTAAGTTGCACAAGAACACAAGTTCAAATGGAAAATTTAGGACTCTAGCACTCAATTTTCCCTCATTTCCAGCAGCTTCTAAATCATCAAACGAGGAAAGAACAGAGAATAAAACTGAAATTTTGAATTAATTGCTGAACACTACCTGACCGTGCGTAAATTAGACAATTCCGTCAAGGTCCTTGTCAATTTCTTGGTCTCCTCCATCAACCCTTCCTCTAATTCTTCAAGCCTTCTAAAATGCCCCTTTATTTGGTTATTCTTTCTAAACACTGCTCTCCTATGCTTCTCTGCCATCTTATACCTCTCTCTCTCCAACCTGACCAGAACAATAACCATAAAAAAAAAAAAAAACATTCATCGTCCAGAAGCGGAAAGGAACACGAACATACAAATTCGTCCGATCGTAATCAGATTATCCAAACGCCATTACACGAGACAAAAAAGAAAAAATCAGAGATATAGTGCAGTTCATAAATTGTTCCCTGTACCTGAGTTTGTAAAGGAACTTTGAAGAGGCGTGGGAGGATGAAAAAGAAGAAGATGATGAAGGGAAATCGGAGGAGAGAAGGTGAGACCATAGACATTCGTCGTCGGAGAGGCGGCGAAGTCGACGAGAAGAGATGGAGATGCAACAGAGATCTCTGTAAGTGAAATCATAGCTCTTTACACCAATTTCCAAAATTTGGCTCCATAGCTCGTCTGGCAATTCTGACATTTTCCGATTTGCGAAGATGGAAATGAACGATCATACAAAGCCCTAAAATCTAATCCCCTTTTTATTTTATTGCTTAAATTAAATTAAATAAATTCAAATTCTCATTCCTCATATTTATTATTTAAAAATAATTAAAGCTTAGTTTAATTATGTATTTATATTTACTAAGATTAAATATATGAGTAGATAAACCATATTTAAAAATAAATAAATAAATAAAAATCAAATCAAGATTATAGTTCGTGTTAAAAAAAAAAATATATATTTTTTAATTAAAATCTTATTAATTTGTTATAATAATTTTAATTATTTTATTTTTAAAGTTGATATTATTAAAAATATGAAAATCAAGTTATTAAAATAATCATAGAAAATAATAGTATAATAATAAAGTTAGATGTCATATATTGGTAACACGATTGATATGTCTCACTTTATAATAAGAGTTTTAAAAAAACGTGATCAATCCAATCCAACCCAACCCCTACCGTTTTAGTTGGGATATAAACTTACATGCAGATTTCGGAATTTGAACAATAAGACTTTACCCTTTCATTGGGCTCGAGAGAAACTTAGTTTATGGTTAATCATAGAAATTCTCGAATCAGTTCATCGTTTATAGAAATTCTCGGATCAGTTCTACTGAAGTAAGGATTGTCTTATGA